CCCAGATTGTTGGGGGCAATATGCTGACTCTGTAAAACCGCTTAGAGAGGGCTGTAAAGCTCTGGGAAGTGGTATATAAGTCTAAGTACTACTGCTATTGTTTGGACAGGTAGTGTTACATTTGAGTGAAGATTCAGACCCATCTAGGTCCCAAAGGAAGGTACAATTGATGAATATGTCATAAGATACACGAAACTAGTAAAATCCAGCTCCTTTCCTGAAAATTGATCCATGAGAAAATGTGTTTTGTTTTATACAGGTAGTCCTTAACTTATAAGTTCATTTAGTGACTGTTCAAAGTTACAACGGCATAGAAAAAAGTGACTTGTGACTGTTTTCACGGCCAGTCTTACTTATGACCATTGCTGTGTCTCAAGGTCATGTGATCACCTTTTGCAACCTTCTGACAAGCAAAGTGAATGGGAAAGCCAGATTCGCTTAACAACCAGATTACTAATTTATCAACTGCAGTGATTCACTTAACAGCTGTGGCAAGAAAGGTCATAAAGTGGAGCAGAATTCACTTAACAAATGAAGAGAAATTTTGGGCTCCATTGTGGTCATAACTTGAGGACTACCTGTATAACCTACTTATCTAGAAGATGACTTAAACCTCAACTGGTGGTCCATATTTACAAGGTGGGTAAATCAGGTTCCAGGCCAACAAGCACCTAATAATATTAATCATAATCTCCTTTTAACAACCCCATAATGCCTTGCAGGATGGAATTTGGGCAACTGAATTGAGCTAGCAGAGTGTTTTAATGACCGGATGCCCTTCCTGTCGCCAATGCAGAGTTTTGTTCAGCAGATATGTTCAGATATATTCAGTGTAGAGAGAAATATCTGCCTTTACCTAGGATTGAACTCACAGCCTCCTGATTGTGAGGCAAGAACTCGACCTCTAGGCCACTGCACCACTCCTACCTAATAGTACCTAATAGTATTAATAAGAACCAATTATGAACTGTTATAATAAGTGAAATCTTTTTAGGATGCTTGATCTACAGCAAAAAGAAATCAACTGGGAACAAATCCAAGGTGCTGGTGTTCATCTATACAGCCCATCATGCCATAGGACTGGGTGACTTATGGGATCACCTTGTTCTGTCCCCGTCTCACACACGCACCCCCAGAGACAGGCAAAAGTTAAAGTACTCAGCCGACAACAGTTTATCTGGTATCAGAATTGGCAGCAACTCAGTGGCTGGCTGCCAGGTATTCTTTACTCACGAGGGGGGAGTTTCTCCCTTCGTCCGGGAACAAAGCCAATACACAATAATCAACAAAGTCCAGTAAATACAAAGAAGGTCGTCCGATATCTGTTTTTTGCTTGTCACAGAGCTGAACCGGCCACCACACCCTCTTTTATACCCTGTGGGGTGTGGTCCAATGACTCAGCCTAATCCCTGGCACGCCTCTTCTTCTGTTGCGCGCGCTTATCTCTGCGACGCTGCCAAGGATCCAGCCAAGACTCATCTTCCTCATTACTGTCCACCTGTGGCTGCGTGGACGTGCTTGGCCTCGGGCCTATCTCTTGACCTTCAGTGGACACCGAAGGCATTGCCAGAGAGGAGGGTCCTGGAGAGGGAGGCCTTGCCAACTCCTCTCCTTCACTCTCGGAGTCCTCTCCTGCCGATAACAAAGGCTCAGGTAACGGAGCCACAACACACCTCTCCTTGTTTCTACCTGTCCCATTACACCAGGCAGAGGCCTGTTGCACAGCTTGTCAATTAAGAAATGTCATCTGGCAGGACCATGAAGAGACTTTTTATCATTCTGCCTATACTGTAGAACATCATTTCCCCCAATGGCCCAACTCTTGTCGGCCTTTCACAAGGACACGGCTATAGTTCAGGCATCTCAAACTCAATTTCATTGAAGGCCGCATCAGGGTTGTGTTTGACCTTCGGGGGGGGAGGTGGGGTGTGTGTAGCCAGGGTGGGCATGGCAAGCATGACATCACTTGTCGAGGGGCGCCTGTGGTGGCCTCGAGCACTCTGCCAGCGAAAACAAGCTCCTGAGCTCAGTTTTCGGCTAAGACGGCCTTCTGCAACCCTCTGCCAGCGAAAATGGAGCTTGGAGGGGTGCGTGAGGCCCTCACAAGCTTCATTTTCGCTGGCAGAGGCCCCGCGAGCCGGTCCTTCACTATTTCCAGGGCAGCCCTGAAGGTCAGATCTAAGCACCCAGCAAGCTGGATCCGGCCCCGGGCCTGCTATAGTTGAATTGTTAATCAGAGCCTGTGTGATGGCTATATTACTTGTAGTTTTGTTTTGTTTTTTTATCTTGGCTGTCAGTTATGGATTTTTTTTTATGGTCGTTTTTTTTTTTAAAACTATTGTTAGCTTCCCAGAGCTACCATGCTGAGGTGGGTGGGCATATTAATTGAATTAAACGAACAAATAAGCAAGTAAGCCCTGGATATTCATTCCTCAGCAGGAGTTTGACACTCTGGATGCAGAACTGATTTGCTTCAAAACAAAAGAGGGGAAAGCAGATCTGAAAATAAGCAGTTTGCTGGATTACACACAAATTCAGCGCATGCAGCGTTTTATTCCCAGTAGCAGACTAGATGCAGATGTGGAAACTCCTAGCAGGGCATCAAGTCTGGATGATATGATCTGCAGGTTACAGATCTCGAATGTGTTCATTTCCCGTTTCTCGTGTCGATCTCTTTGCCTAGCAATTGTGTAGATTGACCTTTATTTCTTTTTGTATAATCAGGAATATTTTTTTTTTCATCTTCATCTTCATTCCTGATGCCATACTGGAAACTTTTGTGGTTTATCCTGCCTGTCCCAAGGATCATTAGCAAAGCTGCTGTGTCACCTTTGGGGCATTACATGCCAATGATCTGCTTGCATTCCTGCTCAAGTGTTTTTGCAGATCTTCCCTCAGAGTAGATTATGTTTGGCGACAGAGCTTTGCTGCCACCTGCTGCATTACCATCATATCCCATCTTTTCATCAGCAGGCCGGTCAAGGAAAATCGGGCGGGGGATTTTATTAATATGAATTTCTTGGCCTCTATCCTGTGCTTAATGTGCCTCGCAGTAGCACTTCAGGATGGAGACTGAGAATAAGCATTCTATTCTGCCCCATAAATCATGATTCCTGAGCTACAATGGATTGGGTTCACAGAATTAATAATCTAGGTCATGATTTGAAGCAGAACCTATACAGGTGGCTAAGCCCTCAAGCCCTATCCAACAAAATGAAATTTAATGTGGAGAAAAACAAGGTTTTACATCTGGGCAGGAGAAATCAAAGGTACAAGTACAGATTAGGTGAAACCTGGCTCAAAAACAGTAACTATGAAAGGGACCTTGGAGTCTTAGTGGACGATCACTTAAACATGAGTCAGTAGCGTGCGGCGGCAGCCAAAAAAGCCAATACAATTGTTGGTTGTATAAACAGAGTTATAGAATCAAAATCACATGAAGTATTAGTACCATTTTATAAAACCTTAGTAAGACCACTTCTGGAATACTACATGCATTACAAAAAAGATGTTGAGACTTTAGAAAAAGTGCAAAGAGGAGCAACTAAAATGATTAAAGGCCTGGACATTAAAAACATATGAAGAACAGTTGCAGGATTTGGGTTTGGCCAGTCCAGAGAAAAGAAGGATTAGGGGGTACACGATAGCAGTATTCCAGTATTTGAGAGACTGCCACAAAGAAGAAGGGGTAAATTTATTTTCCAAAGCACCAGAGGGTAGAACAAGAAACAATGGATGGAAACTAATCCAGGAGAGAAACAACCTGGAATTGAGGAGAAATTTCCTAACAGTGAGGACAATTAACCAGTGGAACACCTTGTCTTCAAATGTTGTGGGTGCTTCATCACTGGAGACTTTTAAGAAAAGACTGGACAGCCACTTGTCCAAAATGGTATAGGATCTCCTGCTTGAGCAGGGGGCTGGACTAGAAGACCTTCAAGGTCCCTTCCAGCTCTATTCTGATTCACTCTGGAGGTTTGGGGGGAAAAATTATTGGAGAGGTATATGTTTACATGTTAGGTTAATAGGGAATTTTAACTCTCCTCAAATAGACTTAGTTAAAAATGTTCCACTCATAGTGAAGAAGTTGAATTTCTAGGTGAACTAACAGCCCAAATCTTAGAACAGTTTACCATGAATTCCTTCATACAGGAAGCTAAGCTTAGTTTAAATCTAAGTGGCGTACAGCATCTAGTCTGTGAAGCAACTCTTGAACCAATTAGAAACTAATCGCAATACATAAATATATACAGGATGCGTCTATATACAGTAAGTGTATGTGGTTTTATACACACTTACATGACAATTCACTAACAGTAACATTTCATAAACAGGAATACAAAATAAATAAACAGAGGAGAGTTTGAAATAAAGGGGGCCAAGTCAGTGCAAAAAATTCTGCACTGTATAATATCAATAAGACAGAAATTGAACCAGAACATAAACTGCAAATGAAGAATTGTATGATTACTGACATGATTAATAGGGCATGCATCATTTGGAAATAATTTAGAAAATATGCAGTGCAGAGTTTTCTTCTGCAGCTGCAGCTGCAGCATAATCTTGGGGGAAAAATGCAACTGCTTTCAAGGGTTGCATAATAAACATACCGGTAACTGGGAATGGGGGAGTTTGTGGAAAGGCACCAAGAAATTTTCTAACTGAAGAAAGAATTGAATCTTGGTTTCCCACATTTTTTCATGAGTTTCAGTTAGAAAGTAAAGTATTTCAAATAGACAATCTACATGTATTGCATGCCTTTCAATTATTTTTGACATCTGCACTGAAATAAATGTGTATTTTTTAAAAATTCTATGAAAAAAAAAACCTAGAATAATCAACTAGTTGAGAGTTATGGAATTAGTTCAGTATTCATATTATTCCTCAAGAGATGTTCTTTCACCGATAATTGTGTCAAAGGAAAACTTGGTACTATATTCAACTATCCAACTGAGGTTATTAAAAGTGACCCTTAAAAAACAACTCAAGTTACAAATACATAAAATTCCAGACATGGAGGTAACTTTATTACTTGGAAATGTTTTCTTAAGGGGACAAAAAACACTTACCAATTATAATAAACACATCCGCTTAACAGCTGAATACTGAACATGCTTTACATCCTTGGAGATTTAAATTGGCTTATTCAAAGACTAAAGAGATGAAGAATAATTCCTTCAGCACAGCATAGTCCTCAAGCATGACCCCCGCCTCACCCTTTCTCTCCTGCGTATCTGAATTTGTTTTAAAGGTTATTTAACTGCCAGCCCACAAATGTTGAACAAGCTGTAAGAAAGGACTTTTTGACTTTAGACTGCTTATGTATTGCCTGCTCTGTAAAAAGACAACCTTTTGCAAAAGGAGGGCACAACAAGGAACAGGTAGGCTTAGAACTTTATCCCCCCCATTGTGTGACAACTTATTCTGCCTGAAGGTTTCTTTCAGCGGAGGTTGTGCTGACCAGAGAGAAATTGTTGCTAGAGAAACTCAACAATAAAATCCAGATGTTTGCCTGCAGGAAGGAGAAGTATCTCCATTTCAAGAGAACCTAGTTCTGGCTAGTTCTCGCTAGTTTAAGCTTCAGATTGATTCAAGGGAGCTCTTAGGAGCAACAGCAGCAGATGACATGCTTAGCAGAAAGCCCTGGAAGTTCGCAGCAATTTCCCATAGACTGGACTGCACAGAATTAAGTCAGACTGCTTTCAAGGACACCTATGGATTCTCCATACAGATCACGTTAAAGCAAATGTACATTAATTTCAATGCTTCAGTATGGAAGTCCCAGTTGTCAGCATGTGGCCATTGTTGAAACAAGAACAGGTGCCTGAGAAGCTTGTTTCAATCAGTTAACACAATCCCGGTTCAATGGAAGACAAATCGACCAACAGAACCACCTCTTCGCATATCCTTATCTCAGCGCTGAATAGCAATAGCAATAGCACTTAAATACCGCTTCACAGTGCTTTACAGCCCTCTCTAAGCGGTTTACAGAGTCAGCATAGTGCCCCCAACAATTTGTGTCCTCATTTTACCCACCTCGGAAGGATGGAAGGCTGAGTCAACCTTGAGATGGTCAGGATCGAACTGCTGGCAGTCGGCAGAATTAGCCTGCAATACTGCATTGTAACCACTGCGCCACCATGGCTCTTCAATACAAACAAGACCCTTTCCAAAACATTCTTAAAGGTTCATAACACAGCTGGGGGTAGAGAGAAAGAAATATTAACTTGAGTCAATTGTCTGTGGTAGGGGCAAACACACCTATATAGAGCCAAAGAACCTGACTTCCAATGGCTTTTAAGACCTTTAAGGAAACAGGCAAGCCACAAGCAAGCAGGGGAAGAGATGGCTGCTTACTGGCCAGCATCTTACTTTTAACATCTTTGGAAGAAAATGTGAAATATTTTTTTTTTTGCCCATACAGAAAATGGAAATGGAAAAACAAGCATTGCTATGGTCTGTAGGTTCCCATTATGTACATCAAAACTTAGGCAGGGTTCAGAAAAGAATGACAAGTAATTCCTAGTTTTCATGAGCTTGTAAAGAGAGCTTTAAGGGGGGGGGGGGGACAAAAAAGAAATATTTTATGCAAAAGTAAATTGCTCTATGCCTGCTTCATAAGCCAATTGAACTGTATTCTACTTATCAGCTAAGGCCATATACTACTGCCTTTGCAAGGAAATATTCTGTTTTTCTAAAGCTTTTCAAACTTAAACATATTTTGTTAAAGCTTTTCAAACTTATCACATAAACTTGTAGTTTGTCAATATAATAGGTGGTTAAGGCAGACTAGCCAGCTATGTCAAGTGGCCACTGAGTCTTCCTTCTTGAAGACAAATTTTGATTAAGCAAAAATATTGGCAAAGTGACTTTTTGTGGTACAAAAAGAATGTGATGTCCGAAAACTTTCTGAGAATGTTGTGTCTTAGGAAACAGAACTAAAAGGAAAGGAAACAGATGAAAAATGATAGCTGGCAGAATTTCTTGGCTTTGTGATATGCTGATGGAAGCTGCTGCAAGAATCCGCATGTCCTGAAATTCTGATAAAAATGAGATTTTATTCAAAGATCTAAGCAAAAAGTTCCCCCCAGGGAAAGAAACTGGCAACTATGCTAACAATGGCAGCATCCTTCCCTAGATACAGGATTATCTAATAAACTTGTACGTCTTAGTCTTTAAGCTATTAGGAATAAGATCATTAAACTAACTTTACATGATTACTTCTTTTTCCTGCCAAATAGTTGCATATGAAGCTTGATGTACCTAATCAAGCAACATTGTGGAACAGCGTGGAGTTCAGGCTAGGCAAAAGGGATACTATGGGCTCTTTCACTTTTGAACAATAGCCTCTCATATAACAACCTCACATAACAAGCAATTTAAAACAGAAACAACAAATAAAAAACCCAAATCTCTTTGCCATGGGATCCAAATTTTTTAGAATGAATTAGCTGCTGTTCAAAAATCTGGGCTTCAACTCTTCCTGGGTATTCAAAATTAGCTAGATTTTTTAAAATTATTATTATTAGTCAGAACGAAAAAAGGCTCTTTGTAATTTTGCACTTGTAAAAGCAAGCCAACTGTAGAAGTAACCTCTTGAGTTGGGATCCAAACAAGTAATAGAAGAAAGCATTTTTCTTCCTGGGTTATTTCTACATGGAGAGAAAGGCTTCATCAGAAGGGATCATCTGGTTTTGGGCCCAATGTTTGTCCCGGCATTGCAGACTGGTAACTCATCCAAATTCTGGAATTCCCTGTGCCGTAGGCAAATTAACACTTTTGCACCTCCCGGACCAGTTCCAGGGAGACAGGTAAAAGCATTTCCGTCACCACGCTTTAAACTTGTCCCACTGAAAGATTCAGAAACAATTTTTCACCATCTCAAAACGATTCTGAGTCTTGGTTCTCTTGGGAGGTAGAAGAGGAGGACCTTCCCACCTCTCCTGCCCACCTGCAGATTTGATCATCAGGCATCCATCCAGGATCACCAGAAGATGAGCCTGCTGGCAAGAGCTATGACTGCTCTGCTTCAGAAGCTGGTTTTGCGACGCGTTGCCTCACTGGATTTGCTGGAGGAACAGGGTACCATGGATCTCCGCGGTCCATTCCACCATCAAGATTGACTCCGTCAAGTCCTTCACTTTTTTTTTTCGAATGCTGAGCAGATTCTAGTAGCTTTCCTAAAAAGAGAAGAAAATTCAGCACTGCCAATTTATCTCTTTAGATCAGGGGTGTCAAACTCAAGGCCTGGGGGCCGGATCTGGCCTGCTTAGATCTGTCCCAGAGGCTGCCCTGGAAATAGCAAAGGATCGTCCCGCGGTGCCTCTGCCAGTGAAAATGGAGCTCGCAAGGGTTTCATGTGGCCTTCCCGGGCTCCGTTTTTGCTGGCAGAGGTTTGCAGGAGGCCATCGCAGCCGAAAAACGGAGCTCAGGAACCCGTTTTCGCTGGCAGAGCACTCGGGCCACCACAGGTGCCCCTGACACGAGTGACCTCAAGCTGGCCATGCCCACCCTGGTCATGCCCATCCCAGCCCCCCAAGGTCAAACACAACCCTGATGCAGCCCTCAATGAAATCGAGTTTGACACCCCTGCTTTAGATGGTAAAGAAGCAGGGTGAACAATCTGCAGGTATGGTATGAAAGTGACTACTATTATCCACTCTGGTCAAATATCTTTTAACAGTATCTCAGTTCCCAGAAATCATGCTGCCCGCTTTTAACAAAAAGGTTGGATTGCAATTATCATTAAATTCAACTAGCGAAACTTACGTTAGAACTGTGAAAGGTAACAATCCAACTAAAATCAGGAGCCTGAGTTTAGAAGCAATCATTTTAAAAACAAAATTTGTGTGGGATTTTATGCAAGTATTACATTCCAGTTCTGCAGAAGTCATGCAGCAAAAAGCAATTTGCAGAATACCTTCAGAGTTTTTAAAGCAGACCATAAACATTAATTTGGTTTTAAATTCATGCCAGTGGAAATCTACTTGTAGGACATTTTCACTGATAAAAAATGGATTGAAGACAATCAATTTTCATTTGTTTCCCTCTGCAATTTTGTATAACCACTCTAGAACCAGAGAGTTGGATGACCCTTAGAATAGAGGTCCTGAAGTTATAAAGGAGACAAAAATGGCTTTGTTTTCCCTCTGTAAATGAGAGGGAAAAATACATGCTCCTGGCTCTAGAGAGACAGTTGCTGTAATAGTTAAGTGGCTGGAGCATAATGAGGCTTCAAATTGATCCTGAACTATGGATTGGGTGACTTTGGGCCAATCTCTTTTGCACTACATAATTCCTAGAATTTGCTGCATAGATAAAATTAAGATTCCCAAGTACTGAATTCATAACTGTTTCAACTCCTTACCCTCAAAATGACGCTTTAGAGCACTGCACACCAGAACAACTAGACACAAGAATAGTTTTTTTCTGAATGCCATCACTCTGCTAAACAAATAATTCCCTCAACACTGTCAAACTAGTTACTAAGTCTGCATTACTATTAATCTTCTCATCGTCCCCATTACCCATCTCCTTCCACTTGTGACTGTATGACTGTAACTTTGTTGCTTGTATCCTTATGATTTATATTGACTGTTTCCTAATATTTGATTATTTGTTCCCTATGACTATCATTAAGTGTTGTACCTTATGATTCTTGACAAATATATCTTTTCTTTTATGTACATTGAGAGCGTATGCACCAAAGACAAATTCCTTGTGTGTCCAATCACACTTGGCCAATAAAGAATTCTATTCTATCTCTTTTGCACCACATAATTCCTAGAATTTGCTGCATAAATAAAATTAAGATTCCCAAGTACTGAATACATGGAGGAAAAGTAGAATATGAGTCTAAGAAATAAACAAATTATTTCCCCTCAGTTCTGTCTATGAACAGAGCAGCAAGTCAGGATTCAAACTACTGCATGGGTAAGATTCTGACATGAATTTTACAAGGCTAGGTAACATATATCAATCCTACATAAAAAGGGCAGGAAAGAACTGGTTGCTAAAGCCCCCCTCATGATTTCCTGGAGGTGAAATTTACTATAAGACCAACACCTGCTAAAAATTTTGCTTTCTAATTGGGTCCCGCCCAAGGCAATTTCATTACTTCTTCTGACTTTGTATTCTATTTTATGAGGAATACGAGCTTTAGGCCTCAGAGAATAACTGTTTAAAGTTGCAAAACCTTGCTAGTATCAGAAAATTAATAGTTAATATTTATCAAACTTGGGTGAAACTATTCCTTCCTTATCTGCCGCTTGTTATTTAAGATACCCAACCGGACACAATAGCATTACTATCTCCTTTTAAGCAAACAAGATAGCCTCCCTCCCTCTGTTCTTGCTGGTTTAGGAATAAGATCTAGGACGGAGCAGAGAGGTACAAATGACCACTGAGTGGTACTGTTGAAAGTGGGCAGGGCTAAAAGAAATAGAGTTAAGTGCCATTATTTAATTAACAGGTAGTTTAATTAGTGAGATGTTTTATAATTTTGGAAAAAGCTCTGGTAATTTATTTATTTATTTAATTTTTATATACTAATATAATTAGTATATTATAATATATTATATTATATACTAATATAATTAGTATATTATATAATATACTAATGCAGGAAAATAAAACGAAAGATAAAACCACACAAAGGTGATAATTTCAAGATTGGCTCAATGCTTAAAGCTCCCCTTTTCAAGTGAAGAAATTCCCTTGGCATGCAGCAATATACTTACTCTGATGAGGATGCTGGTATGGCCTTTGCTTTTTAGTGGGACACACACAATCGGCCAGAAACACCATGATCTGAAAAGAAAACCAACATTCTTCAGTGCTACATTCCAGCTTTATCTTCTCCTTTTAATTCTGAGTGCAAAGAGGCATGTTTACTTACAAGGCCTAGCAGCAACCCCGAAAACAAAGTTACAAATGCAAAAATTGCATAGGATCCCCAGTTTGGTATACCAAGGTTTTCTGTGAAATAAGTGTGACATTGCTGAAAGGGAGAAAAAACAAATTTTGAGAATTAGCTGGACAGCAACTCTAAGTTGCCTGGAATCACAATGAGTGAGTTGGGCAGCCATATATATATATATAAACTCAAACCTAATCTCCCTTCTGATTTAAGAGGAAGATGTGGCACGTACCCTAATCCACATGGAAAGCTGAAATAAGGCAGACATGCTGCTCATCCTGCAAAGAAACACATGAGAAAAAAATTAAAATAAGGGATAATTCTACGGTCAGAGGTAAAAAATAAAATGTACAATTAAAGAACTTTCAGTGGATTTCAGTGATCTAAGCAGCCCATTTGAGATTCAGCATTCAAGTTCTATTAAGGTTGCTCATGCAATTTTCACCTGACTGCAATGGAATCAATTCCCATGTCCAACTATAAATGAAACCCAATTGTAAATGATTCCTATTGGAAGAAAAAGTGGGAGACATCTAAAGAAATCAATGTAGAAGCAAAAAGAGTTTTCTGCGATGCTCAAAAGAAAAAAAAAGGGTCTCCATAGTAGTATGAAGAAGCCTCTAATCAAAGGGGAAAATATGGTAATCACAGGATGAGCTTGAAACTTGCAAAAGTTTCCCAAAATAACAACATAAGGGGGCTGGGGGTATGTTAGAAGAAATAGATCCTAACTCTGTTGTGAAGAGAAAGGAATGAATTAGTCAACAAGTAGACTATTTTAATTAAGATTTTAGTTTTTCCCCCAAAGGGAAATAAAGCCTTTGCTGGCCATTGTTGTGTTACTAGTGAAATGAAGTGAAGCAGCTCAGATATACAAGAGAGAAACATGTAAATGAACTCAAATCTCCAAGGCCAGAGGAATTATGTTTTTGAGCATTCAAAGAATGACAAAGATATTTACAGAGTTCCTGGAAATATTGTGAGGGTCCCATCCCAAGACTGCAGGAGAGCAAATGGCCCTATCTTCAAACAAGGTGGGGAAGATGAACTGAGGAAATTAAAGATCTGTCAGTTTGATGTCTTACTGGACGGGATCTTCAGACTATTAAACAGCATATTTGTGAGTTGTGGATAGGAATGTAAGAGACAGTATAGGTTGGATACAAACCCAGTTAAATTCATGTCTTTTATTGACAGAATTACTTACTTAATGCACTGGGGATATGGCTTGAACATAGTGGACTCTAACCTTAGCAAAGCATTCAAATGTTCTTTTCTTTTCAAACCTAAACACATCCAACTCCTCTTCAAAGGGTTTCTAGTCCCCTGATCATATTCATGGGCTTTCTTTCTCTGAATTTATTCTTTTTTTTTTTTAAGTGAAGTGCTCACAACTGGGCCAGTATATGAGGTGGTAGTGGACCAGTGCAGAATAAAATGGAACGACTATGACCTATTTGGTTACCCTAAACTTCTTATAGGAAAATAATGAAAATATGAAATAACTAGACTCAATCGAGATCATAACTGTTTTCATAAATCATTAGTTTAGATCCGTGATGGCAAACCTATGGCACGCGTGCCAGAGGTGGCACACAGAGCCCTCTCTGCTGGCACGCACGCTGTCGGCCCAGGTCAAATCTCTGTGGTGTTTCTTTAGTGAGCTTGTTTCCCTGCAAACGACAAAACAGAAGCTCATGAAAGAAAAAGATGTTACCTCTTGCTGCGCTGCCGGTGTTGGGATGCCCCATCTCCTGCCAGTCAGCTGGTTTTCGGGTCCTTGCTATGCATGCACACATGCGCACATTTGCATATGTCCATGTAGTCATGCGCATGTCTGAGTTTTTAGTTTGGGCATGCAAATGCATGCAGTTTGGACACTCTGTGTCTAAAAGGTTCGCCATCACTGGTTTAGATCTTAACTTCATCTTGGCTTCATAAATTATTAAACTTGATAGGGGAGGGAGAGAGAATGAATGAGGGACAGACAGGATTAAAACTTCCCAGGTAATTTGCCTAAATCAGTGCTGTTGACTACAGTGATGATCTGTAAATTAACTGGATTCATCTAAAGTCAGAATTCAAGCTTTGGCATTTATTTCCCAAGCCTGTTAGGGAGCAGAAACATTTCTGCTGATACTTACAAAAATGAAGACGGTCCAAGCCATGAAGAAATAGGCTCAACAGACTTCCATTCTTGCTCACTGATAAAATTGATGAAGTCACTTTTAGTTCGGGGACCTTGGTACCGTCTAAATTCTCCATCTTTACAACTGTTCAAAATAAGAGCCATGTCAAGCACTTAAAATTCTCATAATGTCTCACCTAGCAACACTGTAAACAGTAAACAATATTACTTTAAGTTTCATTCCCTTAATTGATTTTAAATTCTAGGTCTTTTATCATCCTCCAAACAGCTACTTTCACTGAAGTTTAAAATTACTACAATAGAAAAACGTGAGATGCTGAAGTATTTTCCTATTTTGCTTTTGAGCCAAAAACCACAGGAGTTATAGCAACTTTAGGCTTTAAAGTACTTACTGGTAAATGGTGGGAAGTGCTGTTATGACAAATCTTCCACTTAGTCCTATATAAAGATCCAGAGAGAAAAATAAGGGTCAAGAGTTCATTATGGTAGATGTATTTCAAGGTAATCAGTCACAAGTACATTAACTTTCCTCATTTTAATTATGCATACAATTGCAGATGACTTTTTTAAAAGAGACAGAGGTAATAAGTAATGTGACTGAAGATCGCACTACCCATCCCATCCCCAGCATCCTACAAACAATATATTACCAACAGCCATATCCAGAACTCGATCAGTAAAAACCATCTGTTTCTTATATATTATTATTAGTTACCAGTATATTATTTTTTTATGAAAAATTCAACAGGCAGACAAAAATGGAATTGGTCAGAACTTTACTGATGAAGAAATTAATGTTTCACTATTCAAACATGTTATTAGCTGTTACCCCATTCAGCTTCTAACAAGCTACTGAAGTGCTATATTCTGTTACCAACCTATTACATTATTCAATTTTCCCAACACAAACATATCTTGCTATTTTCAAAGTTGTAACAATTAGCGGCACACAGTGTTTCAGCAAACCAACAGTTGTTATTGTTTCTATATCACAATTAAAATTGGGAGTGCCTAGTTCCATGTAATTTGCTCCAGGCTACATAGTTCATGACAGAGGAATAATTTTGAATGCAAAGCTTTCCACCTATAATCCTTGCTACTAAATTATACATCTCATTAAAGGCCTTTTGTTCCAAAAATCTTTCCTCATCAGTTTGTCAGCTAAGCAGAGGGCTCAGAGGGATAAAGTGGAGAATTTATCTACCCTCAGTGCAGGCATGCTAGTATAGTCCAATCTGACTCCTGAAAGAGTTCCCAACATTCATTTACTTCTCACTAAGAAATTCCCAAAAAGTTTCTGAAGAATTATCAGGATCCTCAGAACACAGCTTGAAGGTATCTGATGGAAAAAGCCTGAGGCTACATACACATTGCATCATGAGTACATTGAATGTAAGTTGCCTACAGTTGGCATCAGGAAAGATAGGCAGCATATAAAGTTAAAGGTTTCCCCTATCCAGTGGAGTCCAACTCTGGTGTGTGTGTGTGTGTGTGTGTGTGTGTGTGTGTGTGCGCTTTATCTCTGTTTCTTAGTCCAGGAAGCCAGCGTTGTCCAAAGACACTTCCATGGTCATGCCAAGGCGCATGGAATGCTCTTACCTTCCCACTGAAGTGAGATATATTTATCTACTGTACTTGCATTTACATACTTTCGAACTGCTAGGTTGGCTGGAGCTGGGGCAAGTAATGGGAGCTCACCACGACACGTTCAAACCTAGGTAAGTTAAGCATCTTGAACCACTGAGACATTGTGCTCCTATGAGCGGCATATAGATTGAATAAATCAATAATAAATAAAAGTACTGAAGGCAAATTTCAGGTTGGAGAAAAACCTTACTTTTTTTATTTAAAAAGGTTTTATTTAAAACCTTACTATTATTATTATTATTATTAGCATATGGCATTGTGACATTAACTAGGAGAGTACAATGCTAATGCTGAGTAGTAGTTTGCCTATTTACCAGCTCTATCAGATACACGCTTGCACACTTCCCATGGTGCACCACAGGAGGGCGAGCTGGCTTCACACCAGAAAGATAAGCAGCTCTTTCTGCATCATCATCTGATCCCCCCACCCTTTCTCTGGAGTTGCTTCACAAAGGGGTGTCGCAACCTGGAAGGTTCAGAAATCTGACTGCACTGACTGCCTCAACTCATCTGTCCACCAAAGTGGTACCTATTTATCTACTCGTATAGAACATCCTTTTGAACTGCAAGGTGGGCAGAAGCTAACTGATGGGAATTTATCCCGTCATACAGTGCTAGGTCTCGAACCAATGGAGCAGAGAAAATCTCCAACATGATTAAACCACTGAGTTACCACACCCCAACCTTCCAACTGTGTGTAACTTATTCTAAAGCAATGAAACGTATTTTATGTTATTCAATTCACATCGGAACAACAATTTACCTGGCTGCTCTGTTACATCCACTTTGGCAATGTTCACTTCAAGATCCTCGCTCCATTCAGCAAAGCTTTCCCATTCTGACTGTAAATTCTGACAGGCAGGACACCAAGGAGCATAGCTGAAAAATAAATGCTATATAACCAATTGTTACACAGGAGGGGGAAAAAACATTTTCTTTCCATAACTGAGAATAAAAACTGCAGGCATCTTGGACTGCATACTTGCTATACCCTGTTTCTCCGAAAATAAGACATCCCCTGATAATAAGCCCAATCAGGCTTTTGAGTGTATGTGCTAAAATAAGCCTCCCCCCAAGAATAAGCCCTCCCTGAAAATATTTAAACGCAAAGCTGGAAATCAGGTAAGGCGGCAAGAGGAGCCCCATCTTGCTTCATGCGCCCCAAAATAATGACCTCCCCAAAAATAAGGCCACACACTTATTTCGGGGTTCAAAAAAATATAAGACAGGGTCTTATTTTCAGGGAAACACAGTATATTGTTAATATGATTTATGAAAACTGTAGTGCCAAGCATCTATGATAGTAGAGCAGTACTGGTTACAATATAATAAATATTTAAGACTAAAAGGGGCAGAATTTTAAGGAAAGAATCTATGCCCTGCACACAAAATCTTCTTAGTTCGTTCCTTGGTATATCTAATTCAATGGATATATAGTTGTGATGGCTAAGATCCTCTTTGCTCAAGAATTTCAACAACTATCTCCAACCAGAGGAGATAGTTTGTTTATTCTGGAATAAACTAACCACTGAGGTTCTAACTCTGTAATATAAAGCAGCTTGCCGTCATAAAACCTTGATCAACTTCACTGGATTCTATAACACAGAGAACTGTTTTATTACATTATCTTACTTCATATGGCAATTCATTAACCTTAATAATTACAATAATTCAGTAACAGGAGGCATTAATGCTCTTGAATATTCATGGAGTGTCTCAACAACCAAGTGCTAGAGAGGTATATAACATTCCATTTGTTAACTGTTTCAAGCACAAAAGAGCTAGTTTTAGGAGATTTGTGTCAAACCAAAACACTCATGTTATATCTATGCATGGAACAAATGAGTTGTTTTGCTACAGTCACAATTGGGAGTGGGGCGGGGGAGTACATACAGTGATGCTGATGGAGGCAGGGATTCCTCTTAATTGCCTAGACTGGATGCACAAATCAGTACATTGGCAGTGGCTGAACTGAGGGAGAAAAATATGATATACTACACTGAAAAAATGGGAGATGGACTAATGGGATATAGTACTAACTAAACAAAGCATGGGGAAAATAGGGCATTCAGGGTTTAACACATGGAGACTGTGACTTACACACCAGTCTTGGCCTACTCATTTTTTGTTTCATTCAAAAATTGCTTCTGCTTTCACTTTTGTAAAACAGTAACTGGCTTGAAACAGCAGAGTTCCTCCCATTCAGAAACTCCCCTCCCCCAAAGAATTACCAAATCAAGGAGCTGAAGAAGCTTCTTGGATGAGAAGCTAAACCTCTTCAAAGAAAAACCAGGAAGTCTAGTTACTTCTTGAAAAAAAAAAACACTTTAGGGATTTACCAAATCTAGGGTGCAAAATTCCCCTTGGCTCAAGTCCGTCAACTATGGTTACTTTTTTTTTTATATTGAAAAGTTTTAGAATGTTTTACAAACAGATTTCCTCCCCTCCTCCCCCCACCCATTCCCTTCTCCCTCCCTCCTCCACTTCCCAGAGCAAAATACAGGGTATTGCATTTAACAAACATAATCTAACATAAACAAACTAACTATAAGCTCTTAACTCCCCCTTACTCTTTAACTCTCCCATAGGTACCAAAATGTCAGAATAAGAAGAAAAATCATCTAAATATTTCATTCATAACCTATTTGCAACTTTTTAGACCCATATTTGTTTTGTATATAGTCAATCCATCTTCTCCATTCCAGTACATATCTTTCATTCGAACGATCCTTCAAATATGCAGAGATTTTAGCCATCTCAACTATGGTTACTTTTTAAGATGCATGAAGTCTATTCCCAGAATTCCCCAAGCAACATGCAAGCTGCCCAGGAATTCTGAGAGTGAAGTGAAGGGTCAATAATATATATCCTAAAATATTGACAAAGCCTGCTCTCCATCATTTAAATAGCCAGCCCCAAGGAAGAGACAGGAAGGTCAGGGGGGCATCCACTGTTCTCCCGACTGACGAGTGAAATGGGGCGAAGGAGACAAGCGAAGGGTGGAGCGGAGTTAGCCCTGAGCAGATACAGAGTTCCCCTTTCTAGAGGGCTGGACTAGATGATCTTTGCGGTCCCCTCCCCATCCTACGATTTGCCCGGGCACTTCCGGGAAAAAAAAAAGAGCCGCTTTTCTCTGCCCGCCACGACTCACAATTCCACCATCCACTCGCCCTGCAGCAGTTCTTGCCACGCTCCGTCAGTCAGTACTTTGACTCGATTCCTGCCGGCCAACGCGGGTCCCGGCACTATAAGCAGCAGCAGGAGCAGCAACAGCAGCATCGAGGCGAGCGTTATCCAGGCAGATCTCGCTGAGGAGCCACGGAGGGGAATAACGACCGCCATCATCTCGGACGACTTCCGCTTTGGCAGGGCGCCAGGAAGCCAATCAGAAAGGATGCCGGGAAAAGAGGCGATTCATCCCTGGGAAGAGAGAGAAAGAGAGAGAGAGAGAGGAAGGGAGAGAGAAAAACTAGTCGCGCGCGCGCGCGCGCACGGGCGGGCGTTTCCTCGCTTCCGCTGCCCGTGGTTACGGAGTGGGGGCTTTCCGCCCCCGCCCTTGATTTGATTGATTTGGAGAACAGCAAACCAATCAACGGCTCGCCTCGATCCTTTCGCCCCGCCTTCCGCCTCCTCTCTCCCTTCTGCTTTTTCTCCACAGCTTTGGAGCGGCTTTCATAGCAGTTTCGGTGTCGCTCGTTCGCCGACTTTTCAAGGCGACGGAACTCAGGCACCAGACGGATTAAAAGGAACCAGGAGTTGCTATGACGATTTATTATTATTTTTTTTCCTTTTCAAAGGAATAATAAAACACATGTTTTAGAAATAATATTTCCCGTGTTGTTGTTGTTGTTTGTTTATTTAAATGCGTTAAGGCATGAGATTTCTTCCTCTATGGACAGGGCATTTTTTTTTCTTGCTCACTAGTTACGGCTAGTGAAAATGAAGTGATTTCAGAATCCTCCCGAATTCCTTTTCCAAATTCCTTCTCCTACATGTAAGTGGGGCCTTGATTGAAGGATCCTAATGTGCCACAGAACATAAGTCTTTAAAAAAAAAACTCCCTGCTCTGAATTAACAGGAATTTCCTGCTCCTACTGGCTTGAGATAGGTGACATTCAACCCAATGTATTTGGACAGGGTTAAAAAAAGTTAAGGGAGGCAGCTTTCTGCTTCATATTGCATCATCATCGCCCTTTCAGTCTAAGGATAAATTGAACAAAGCAATGTAAGAAGTTAACCACTTTCCTAGACGAATGAAATATTTTGTGAAATATTAAAAAGGCAGAATATTATGTTTCCCTAGATGAGAAATGGAGAAGTATGTTTTAAAGACAAAGCAGCTCCCATCTTCCTGCCCCCCACCCTATGTCAATGGGCCAGAGGCAGAAACTCAATCTTTGTCAATGGACCATCATCTGCAACACAATAGGACCCATCTAGCAACAGAAATTCACCACATGGCACCTGGGAAGATTACATCAGCCAGCAAGGCTAGCTAAGACCCCCCACCCCACCCCCTGAGAGTCTGACAACCAATCAGGATACTCTTTCGGGGCCCCAGGAAGTTCAAAGCCAGAGAGAGCTTAAAACCCAGGGACTTGCTGCATCTCACCCTTTTCTGTTCAGGAACTCAAAGCATGTGATCCTGTCCACCATTAAACCATCTTTCCAAGCAGTCTCCATGTTTCCAGTGTCTTTTTCCCCACTTGGAGCTGAACCCAGAAGGATATTTCTTCCTACAGCAAGATACAAGGAACTTGAACTGAAGAAAACTATACACCTCTACAGGTTAACCTTGCTTAGTGATTGCCTCCTTCATGGACGGTTCGCAGGTATAATAGTGTCCAAAAAGTAATTTTGGAACCAAGCCTGGCATTTACGACCTTTGCAGATATAGAAAGCAAAGGAAAACTAAAGCAAGACCATAAACATAGTCATGGTTTGACTTAGGGACCATTTCTCTTAACAATTGAATTGCTAATAATTCCAGACGTGGTTGCAACGTGAAGACTATGTGTGAGGGAGTAGTCTAAGAAATTAATTTGAATGAGACATTTAATTGGGCACTCCACTCAAAATATCTAAATAATGCTCATCTTCAGAGACAGTTTGTTACAGTAGGTAGGAGAGTTTATCATGGAGCAATAGATCGTCCACAACTTACAATCGTTTATTGACTGACCATTCAAAATTACAATGGCACTGATCCCAAAATGTGACTTGGGATCATTTTTCATACGACCACTGCAGCATTGCCAGTCACATGATCAAAGTTCAGATGCTTGGCAACTGGCATGTATTTATGATGATTGCAGTGTCAGGGGGAATCATGTGATCACCTTTTGTGACCTTCTGACAAGCAAAATCAATGAAAAAGCCAGATTCACTTTAACAACTGTGTTACTAACTTAACACCTGCAGTGATTCACTTAACAACTCTGGCAAGAAAGTGGTAAATTGGGACAAAATTTACTTAACTATCTCGCTTAGCAACAGAAATTTTGGGCTCAATTGTGGTCATAAGTGGAGGACTACCTCTGGTATAAAATGAAAGCTGTCTTTTTCCCAAAAGGCTTGCTGTTCTGGGATGTATTTTCATCTCTCTAAAAATTCTTTTTCTAGAAATTATTTTTTGTTCCTGCTGAGATAAATTATTTACCCAAATTTTTATAAGTCAAGTATGTAATATCCTATTTTCTATGAAATTATATCATTTTAATTTTTTGAATAATGATTTTTTTTCTCTTAAGGGATATGTGCTTCATTTACATTCCATATTAAGCATTTGTAATCCCATGATGAGGCTAAGAATTTAGAAAACTCAATACCTATAATACCTTCCCTTTCACTTTCCAGTTGCACTTGTAAAGGTTTTTGTGTAGACTCATCCTGTCACACGCATTCGTATTGTAGGAAGAAATATCCTTCTGGGTTCAGCTCCAAGTGGGGAAAAAGACACTGGAAACATGGAGACTGCTTGGAAAGATGGTTTAATGGTGGATAGGATCACATGGCTTGAGCTCCTGAACAGAAAAGGGCGAGATACAGCGAGTCCCCGGGTTTTATGCTCTTTCAGGCTTTGAACTTCCTGGGGCCCCAAAAGATCCGTTGTCAGACTCCCAGGGGGTGGGGGTCTTAGCTAGCCTTGCTGGCTGATGTAATCTTCCCAGGTGCTATGTGGTGAGTTTCTGTTGCTAAATGGGTCCCATTGTGTTGCAGATGATGGTCCATTGACAAAGATTGAGTTTCTGCCTCTGGCCCATTAACAAAAAGGTGGGGGCTGGAAGGTGGGAGCTGCTTTGTCTTTAAAACATGCTTCTCCATTTCTCATACAGGGAAACATAATATTCTGCCTTTTTAATATTTCCTAAAATATTTCATTCTTCTAGGAAAGGGGTGGGTGCTAACTTCTTACAATATTGTCTCCAGTGTTTTGAATTTTTCTAAACATTCTCTTGTTTTCTTCACAGAATTCAGTTAAAGCCTATGTTGTTTGAAGGTAAAAACCATTCTTGCAGTTTGTTCCATCAAAGTACATTATTTTTCTGTTTAAGTCTATCAGTCAGAAAGAAGCACTGTTTTCTTTGATGCAGTATTTTAATTGACATTTAATTAAATGTCAGACGTTTGAAGACAGAACAACCACAGCACAAGAGAAGCGAGCACTCCGCAAAGCCAGAGCTGCAAATGCTACAACAATGGCGCCCACACATCTGCCCGACATGTGGCAGAACATTCCGTGCCCATGTAGTCCTTACCAGCCACCTGCGGACACACCATGGACAGCCCACAACCCATTAGATGTCAAGGTCCTCTTCGAACATGATGACGAACATCATTTTAATTGAATTTCTTTAAGAACAAATGCATCTGTATTATTAATCTTCAATCTTGCATTACAATGCTTCTACACAACTTGGTCTCTTCTCTTTTTCCTAACAAAATGCACCAGGACATCCTTTCCTAATTTTGCAAATTCTGTGAACTTCGTCATTTTTTTTGCCTCTGTATCCTCTTCATCTTTTCACCTCCCCTTTAATAACTTTTGTCTTACTTTTCAAAAATTCTTTATCATTAGTTTTACATGTCTGGTCACTTCTCTCTTCCAGAGCTGTTCATTTAGTACTAAGTGATTCAAACAACTTTTTGCGTAAATCCTCAAATATTTTCTGAAGCAATTCTGGTGTAATTTCTCTTTCTGCAAGTTGTGCTAACAACCCCCTCCTCGATTCTCCTGTTTTTCCTGCTCATCTGGTAATTGTCATTCTAATTTTGTAATCCAGAAACAAAAGTCTCAGTTATAAGAGCCGAGGTGGCGCAGTGGTTAGAGTGCAGTACTGCAGCTACTTCAGCTGACTGCTAGTTCAGCAGATCAGCGGGTCAAATCTCACCAGGCTCAAGGTTGACTCAGCCTTCCATCCTTCCGAGATGGGTAAAATGAGGACCCAGATTGTTGGGGGCAATATGCTATTTAGTATACTGTCTTTGGTGTAAGCCGCCCAGAGTCCTCGGAGAGTGGGCAGCATAGAAATATGAATAATAATAATAATAAGAGGGAAAGTAAAAGGCAGGCATCCCCCCCCCTTTTATTTTGCTTTTGTCTTTCTGCATCTTGGATACATTCATCTAAAATTACACTCCGTATTTGCAGTCACTGTCACAATCTGGCTCACATTATCTTTATTCTGTAAAAACTACCAATTGTCTATGCTCTTAATGCTAAAAAATAAGAGTCTCATGAGTCAGGTCTGTTTGCCTGTTTAATTCCAATATTTAAAAAAAACACTCACCAAATTTAATATTTCAAAGTTACTGTCTCATTTATCCATTTTGAACTTTTGATATCCAATTCCTGTTAAACTTTTTGCTGAAAATTTAAGTCCTTTATATCCTCCCCACCCATCCTTCTTTATCCAGAAAGTATGTTGACTCTTTAATTGGTTTTCTTTCATTCTGCCTTACTCTTTTAACTGTTAACTGATTACATGCAACTGTGATTATGAAAGTGATGCTTTTGCAGATCTTATGTCCATTACAGGCTGCATTGTGGCTGTGGAGCTTGATTAAAATCCCTCAACCTTCCCAATAAAAGTATGTTTACTAAAGAATATTTCTGGTTTATCTGTGGTATTTAAAGATGAAGATAATCAAGTTAGATCAGGGGTCGGCAACCTTAAACACTCAAAAAGCCACAAAGGTCCTAATCAGAAGGGCCCCTCCCCATTCAGTTCTGGAGCTGACCGGAAGTTTGGTTCCCCCACCAGAGAGTCTCCTCCTAGCGCGGCATCTTTTTTCCTCTACCTGTCCTAACCGAAAACCCTATCAATTGTGGAGCCAACTGGTGACAGGGAGCCGCAGTAGAGGGATGAAAGAGCCACATGCGGCTCCAGAGCTGTGGGTTGCCGACTCCCGAGTTAGATATTTTAAAAAATTACAACCAAACTTTTTTTGTCTTCATAAATTTATTTAGTAAACAGTGCACATTGAAATGAAATACTGTAGCAATAACAACAGAACATGACCACATTTAGCAAACAAAGGAGAAAATTATCTGGTAGCTTCCTACTCAACTACCATCTTTGTAAAGGAAGCTGGCAGAGAGAGAAAGAACATGAAACTCTGCTGGTAGGAGAACGCAACATAAAACATCACTGCCCGTCTCCTAACATCCACAATAAATCCCTCTGTGCAGGTCAGAATCTTACCAAAAGCTACTGTGTATGAAAGTTTAGAATTAGGTCACAGAAGTGAAAACACAGAATAGCATGTAAGGCAAAGAAAAGGAATTATTTCTCAGTTCTTTCATGTATGAAAGGGGATTTAAGGCAAGTAGGAGAGTGAGCTCATATTCTGTCATAGAATGGAAGGAATTAACAAATGACCTTGGTAGATGGGGTAGAAGAAAAAACAGAGAAGAAAACAAATAGAAATAAAGAGAAGACTGCCTACGTTTGTCACATAACAAAAATATTTAACCACTGCGAGGCTCCAGTCTTACACTCTAGCTGACATAACTCCAGGAACCCTTTTATACCATTTAATATTTCTTGACTGAAGAAAAGACCCAGCCAAGGTGCCAACTTCTCTATCTCTCATAAATATTCATTTATCATGAATGGAAAGGTGTATTATGAGAAGAAAAATTCTTCTATAACAACAGATGCTGGCACTGGAAACAGTGTCTGGTTCTGGAGTTGTGCTTTCAATCAAGATTACAGGTAGTCCTTAACTATATTTGTTTAGTAACCAAAGTGATGACTGGGATGAAAAAAAGTGACTTATGACCGTTCCTCATACTTATGACTGTTGCAGTGTCTCCATGGTCACATGCTCAAAATTTGGGTGCTTGGCAACTCATATACATTTACAATGGCTGCAGCATCCCAAGGTTACATGGTCATCATCTGAGACCTTCCCAGCTAGCTTCCGACAACAAATTCAATTCAAGCCAGCTCCAATTAATGACTGCAGTGATTTGCTTAATGGCCACAGCAAAAAAAGATCATAAAACTGGGCATAACTCAGTCAACAACCACCTCACTTAGTGATGGGAAATTCCATCCCAAGCGTGGTCGTAAGGTTGAGGATTACCGTACTTGTATTACATATGCATATAATGCTACCCTATATTACCTATGTACAAAGCTATGGGGTTATTTTTCTTCCAAACAAAAGAAAATTCTAAAAACAAACAGCCAGGAAATGTTAAAGTGCTTTTGCTTAATCATTAAGTAAGTCACTTGAATGGTTTTGTGGAACTGGATGTTAAAGTAGGTACTATTTTAGGAAAGGCTTTCTCTGTAATGCTGAGCTATAAGCAGCTTATTGCAGCCTACAAATGTTAAAATTGGTTGTCCAATTTATCTACACTTGAGCAGTTCAGTGAATGGTGAAAGAGAAGTGACTATGATGAGTTAATTTAAATATAGTATTATTCCCTGTATTTGCTACAGAGATAGTATCTACTGCACTAGTGAATTAATCTAATTGTGACTAAATAGCTATTTGTGCCTTAAATTGTTGTTAATACAGATGGTCTACATAATTAAAGCAATCAACTAAATCTCCTTATGGGCAAATATCAAGATAGACTCAAATAAATTAACAACATCCTTAGCTGAACTGCACAATAAGGGCTACCCTCAAATTGCCTGGAGATTACTAATAATTCAAAAAGTGTTATATTTAGAGTAATTGACTTCTTACTGGGTACATGCCATCACCCAAAAGGGGTGCCAAAGCATATCAAATGTTGTCACCGTCTGCGCTCTTTTTTTAAAACAGAAGCAAAAAATCTCCTTAACTCTGATGTTCAGATCTGCCAGTCAAAGCAGTTTGAGTGGATGCTTTGCAAAACATGCATGAACAAGGTAGATAACCAGGTGAACTCTTCTTAAGTCCTTCAGCTACAATGGGATTTTTTTTAGCATTTTCCACTCTGTGATCACTTCTCTCTCTCCTTGTTTAGAGCTGTTCTGTCTGATTCCCAGATTCTCACTATGTGAGCAACTTCTCAAACAACTACCAAGCATCAATATATTTTTTCTAAATTCAAAGGCAGCTTGAAGAAAGACCTAAGAAAAAAAAACAATTTAATTTTGCATTTTTTGTGAATGCAAATTGAATAGCTGTTGATCCAGAAGCAACTGCTTCTACTGTCACATATGATTGCTTTCTTCAGAATCCAGATCTCTCAAACGCGTTTCACTGAAATGAATGAGAATGTCCTAAGCACACAATTCCATGCATTAAAAAAATCAATGTACATGTTGTATTATGCTATTATTGCTGCATAACAGGTATCAACTAGCATATTACAAATTGCTTGTTTCATAGTTAGTTGCTTCAAAACTCTGCTTAACCCCACAAATACCTAAACAAGAGTTTTAGGATTTGATAACATCTTCAAGTGTTGGTAGAAAAATGATGTTAAGTAGTTTAAGAAGTGTGCTCCTCTGGTCTTAATTAGAACATTGATTAGCTCATGGAAGAAGAAGAGCTTTTGCAGCTTGGTTAGCTGCCATTCTTATTACAGAGCACAAGTTACTAGTCCATAATCTCCCCTTTTGTGTAGATAAAAGTAAAAGGCTCAAAATACAGGTCAGTCACACATCTTATTATTGCATGTTTCTGAACACTACCAAAAATCATGCTAAAGGGAGATGAGGAGAAATGTACTTCCAAAGGGAGAAAAGGCAAACAAGAATAAATTGAAGTACAACTCTTTCAACAAAACAAAAATATACATTGAAAAGTACCTGAAAGAGAAAACTGCAGAAACAGTTTCAGTTATTTATGCTAAACAATATTAAAAAATAAGGTTATGCTTTGTTCTCTTTGAACCTTAACAGTGAGTTTCAGAATGTTCTATCAATGACCAAATTTCAATTTATTAGAGGAATTGTCCTATTACAGAACAATCCAATCACTACTAAAAAGTTCTGCTGAGTTCTAGGATATCTCAAAGCAATGTCTGGGGGAGCTGCTAAGAATGCAGAGATAAATACCCAGTATTGTTACCTAATTCACTTTTTAAGGAGACGAACTATCTCTAAGGAAATCAATACGCCCTCCATTCTCTAATCTGTTCAGGCTTCTGTTCACCAAACATGCTCATTTAATAAATTCTAGCATAAGAAAAGCTTGATAATTTCACAGGAATAGAAAAGAAAAAAATAGTGTTATATTTCAATTTAGTAGGTATCATTACATATCTTGCAGATCACCAAAGACAAAAAAGGTATTAGTCAAAAATTTGCCTTAAATTCAATGCTGTACATATTCAATCAATCCCTCTTAATATTTCTAGCAATCTCAGCAATCTAATTGTTTAGCACCATGTCAAAGTTAGTACACACTGAAAATTTGGTTGTACATTCTTTGTAGTCACTCGTGGGCTACAAGCCATAAATTTATGCACAGAGGTGGAAGATATTTCTTTCTGGAACATTTACAAAGGTGCTGGCATATCATTATGCATTATTTTAAGAAAACCCAAGCCACATGGGCTTTCTCTAGGAGCTTAAAAGCTGTAGGTCTTCAGATAAAGGGCAAGAAGGGTTTACTTTTTAGATGTACAGACAGGTCCAAATAGTGTAAGAATAAAAATAAAATTTTAAATGCAATGAACTAAAAATTGGAAACTTCACAATAGCTATCCATTCTTATCCTCCAGTAAATTATCCCTCCACTTCGAAAGGAGGAGGCGTATTAAGTGCAGATAAACAAATTACAGTATCAGATATTTACAAAACCTGCGTAATGGGTGGAGGGAAAAGGCAGCCCTTTAACTGTTCATAAAAAATGTGAAGCAATCATGGTCTCTATGTAAATATGGAGACAGACATCTAGTAAGATTGTGCAACACAGTCAAAATGATCCCACCCCTTTAGCAATATTACCTATGCCAGTCACAGGAAGATAAAGATCAAAGCTCTGAGTTTGGGAGGGTTTTTTTGCCTATTGCAGGCAACACAGTGCTTCTTTTATCAAGATAAATTATTTCAGATCAATAACAGTGTGCAATTTGGATCTCCATTAGAAAGACAGTTCCATATTCCCTCCTTCCATTTCTTTCCTATCAACAATATCCAATTCTTATTTGGGGTTCACCTGTTTGCATTACAATTAAGTCATTTCTCCTATCTTGAAGAAATACATCGTCTGCTTTGTACAGGTCGGGCATCTTCAGTGCTACTTGCGTCCTCAAATGTATTCTTCAAAGTGCAGTCAAGCCAAAATTACAACGGCAGTACATCATGCCAGCAGTGTCCAGCCAGTTATCAGATATAGGGTCGTATTTCTGTACGGTATTAAGATAGGATGACCCTGAGTGTCCACCAACTACATAAAGATACGTATCAATTACAGCTGCGCCAACTCCTATTGGGGAAGAAAAAAGAAAATATATTTAACATTACAAAACCAAGTCCTTTTCATAGAAAAAACATCAGGGGTGAAATGTAAAATTTGTTACTACCGGTTCTGTGGGCGTGGCTTGGGGGAAATGTGACTGGGGTGGGCGTGGCCAATTTTTCCTTTATTTTTAACTTTTCAAAGCATTTTTTCTTTTCAAAGCAATCCTCAGATGGGATTGTCAGAGAGACTTTTTAAAAAATACCTCTCTGCCATCAGGCAACTCAGCTGGGATCGTCAGAGACTTTTCAAAGCATTTTTTTACCACCTCTTCGGCCAAGAGGTTGCAGAAAAAAATGCTTTGAAAAGCCTCTGACAGTCCCAGCTGAGCCGCGCAATCATCAGAGGCTTTTTTTTTTAACTTTTAAAAGCATTTTTTCAGCAGAAGTTGTAGAAAAAATGCTTTTAAAAATAAAAACAAAAAAAAGCCTCTGATAATCGTGCAGCTCAGCTGGGGGGGGGGGGGGGGGGGGGGGCACAGGGATTTTTGCTACCGGTTCTCCAAACCACCTGCCATCGCTACCGGATCGGGGGATCCGGTCCAAACCGGGAGCATTTCACCCCTGAAAAACATGCAAACTAAAAAAAAAAAACCAACCCACAATTTAAATAAGTGTTAAAGAATTTGTGGTCGTTATGAGGAAACTGGGATGCAAGAGTATTACATATGTTCACCATCTTCAGATATATGTAAAAAAAGGCAAGTAAAAACCTAATCATCATCATCATCATCATGAATGCTGTAATGTAGAGGGTGGAAAATGTCCAAAGATCAGATGTTTTCTTGAGGGAGGGGAGGAACACCTATAAAATTCTCCTTTCAATTCATCTCTTCACTGCCCTTCTCTATCATGGAGCCTAGCAAAAGACAATAGTACAGGAAACTCAGAACAGAAATGGCCAAATATTACTCCAATATCATGAAAATGGGTTAAACAGAAAATGTTTTCTAGAACAAATTCTTGGCCTACAGGTTATGCTTTTACTGCCATAAAGAGTTTTGGCTGAGAAGAAAGCAGCAATTTATCCTTGAAGATTTGCTTGAAATAGCTATATTCTCTAGAATCAAGGATCTAATAAACAAGCAGTTGCGTAACAGCTCTGAGGACCCTGTCCACTTCCTCAGATCCAACAGAGTCAAACTGCTCCCAGATAATCAGGTGAGTCTCTAATGCACAAGTGTCAAACTCAGTGTCACGTGACATACCACATCATTTTTTCCCTTCGCGGGGCTGGGGTGGGTGTGGCCTGCGTATGACACATCTGGCCCACATGCCACCGGTTTGACACCCCTGCAATGGATCTGCTCCATGCTTGGTTTCCAGTCGAGAACGGATCCAAGCAATTTTGTCTGTTATATCCTTGACAAATTCCTCCACATGATTTCCTAGTTGCAACTGAGGAACTGAAGACTGTCTATGTATGCTAATGGGATTTGGGAGAGTATATGTTCTGGTTAGTCTGGGATTCTATCTTTTCTCCTTTTCTTTTTTGAATGCTATCTCAAGACAATGGGAAAAGGATGTTGGCATTGTTGAACTGAATGAAACAGAGGTCGTGGGAGAGGCCTGTGTGTGTCATGTTTGTTTGGTGTGGTACTTGATGCTTGAGAAGTGTGTGAATTTATTTTTTATTTATTTTATTTTAATTTGATTTATATGCCACCCTTCTCCAGAGACTCAGGGCGGCTTACAATGTGTTAAGCAATAGCCTTCATACTTTTGTATATTTATACAAAGTCAGCTTATTGCCCCCACAAACTGGGTCCTCAATTTACCTACCTTAGAAAGGATGGAAGGCTGAGTCAACTTTGAGCCTGGGGAGATTCGAACTAGCAGTAATTGCAGGCAGCTGAATGTTAATAACAGGCTATTAGTCTGCTGCGCCACCAGGCTCCTCGTAGTTGTAATTGATCAACTACAAACTTTCACTCAGCTTGGAAGCTTTTTCTGCTAAACTGGATATCAGGCTGAACAGAGAGAGAAGTCCTGTCTCTGCCAAAGTGTAGGCCTCATGAGTAAGTGGCTGCTAGCTGGCTGTGAACATCAAAGGAGACCTCACAAGGACAGCCATCTATTCCTGATATCATCCTTTCTCTGGTCATTTCTCTAGTGTACCTATTTCTTCATAAGCTCAGCCCCCCTTGGACTCTGCAAAATTTGCCTGCACCATGCCTGTTTGCTGAAAGGCCAGGAAAAGAGGGAAAAGAGAATGTGGTATTTCCAGAGGAAGATTTACTTTTACAGACTGTGCTTTATAGTTTGCAGAGATCTATTGCGACCCTAACACCTGAGCCAAATAATAAAGTAGCAGGAGGGAAATAAGGGTGATTCTGCATTACGCACATAAAGTTATGTTTGCAAATTCAAAAATATGAAGTAGTTCCCAAATATGTAATTGCCTTACAGGGAGAGGATCCTGTAAAGGTAGAAGTTACTAGAAGAGTAATAAAAAATCAGCTTAGTTGGATTCATTAATAGCTATAAGATCTAGAATGGTATCAAATTAATACCTTAAGTAACATTATTACTCAATCACCAAAACGTCTAACTCTAGAATAGACACACTGTCTATCCACATTCCCACAAAACTAAATTTAATTTATTTTATGCTAGGAAGTCCTCTGAAATCCTAAATGATCCAATTTTTTATGCCACCATCTTTATTAATATAATCACATTCTTTTTGCTTTCAGAGAAAAAAAATGCAGTCTTTGGTTGTAAATAGTTTGCCTGTGTCTTAAAGTACTGATGATATAAATGCTGTTCAAGTAAATCTCTCTCTTCCTTTTTCCAGGGTTTTTCTGGTTTATCATAGTAAGGATAAGAGTTGTTTTTAAAGGAAAAGACAACTGAATAGCATGTTGGGGCATTCTAACACAATTTGCATAGAAGTAGCACAGTAAGGGAGAATTCAGTGATGATTTTTTTTGTTCAACGTAAGACTTAATTGCTCCCAAAGTGACATGAAAAAAAGAACAACAAAATTAAACTGAACAGGAGCAGTTTAGATAATAAACTGAGAAGTTTATTACCAGTTCGAGGTTCCTTCATCGGATGACAAACAGTCCATTGGTTTTGGTGTGGATCATACCGCTCAATGCTGGACAAGTGAGAAACACCATTGTGCCCTCCAACTACAAAAATGAAGCCCAACATAATCCCAACACCGAAGTTTATTCTCTTGTCTGCCATTGGTGCAACTGCTTCCCAGGAGTCCTTGTTGGGATCATAACGTTCCACACTGCAGATGGAAACAAACAACAGCATTTAATGACCAGAGTTTCTACTGATTACTGCAAGCTAATACTATAGCTGCTTTCATGAGGGATAACCAGCAAGTTGCAATTCCCACATGAATGCAGCTTCAATGGCCTCTTGAGATAATCTATAATACAAGTTATAGTCAAGGTATTTTGATAGCACACAAAACTCTACAGTCAAGATGGAAATCAGGGACCAAAAGGAGAGAAAGATTGAATATGGTTTAAGGTATAAAACAAAGCAACTATTTTTTAAAATTAGTGGATGTATGACAATTATACAATTGAGGAGATAAAGGGAAGTATGGCATCTAGCCACAATACAGTAATACCAAAAAAAACCCTAACCCTAGTTTAATGGGATTGACTTGTGTGTCCTTTTGCTGATTAAAATACAGGTCGTCCTTGACAGTTCATTTAGTGACCATTTGAAGTTACAATGGCACTGAAAAAAGTAGTTTATGACCAGTTTTCACACTTATGACCATTGCAGCATCCCCATAGTCACATGATCAATATTCAGATGCTTAGAAACTAACTCATATTTATGTCAGTTGCAGTGTCCTGGAGTCATGTGATCACCGCCTGCGACATTCTGACAAGCAAAGTCAATGAGGAAACCAGATTCATTTAACAACCGTGTTACTAACTTAACAGCTGCAGTGATTCACTTAACAAACATGGCAAGGCAAGTCATAAAATGGGGCAAAATTGACTTAACAAAAGTCTCGCTTAGCAACAGAAATTTTGGGCTCAATTGTCATTAAGTCAATGACTACCTGTACCACAGACATTTCCACATATAGCAAACAAAGTGTGAAACAGAGCTAAAAAAATCTGTAAAAAGGTAGTAAATGTAGAACAATGAAGAGACTCAAACATTTGCCTGTAGCAGTGTAAAGGTAGGAAAATTTTGTATCTGATGTAGCTCAAGCAAACAGGGCTGCCTGGTTTTGCTCTACATCCATCACCTAGCCAGACAGTCCATCATGGATAGGATTCTATAAATCCATTTCCTAGATTAACGCCCCCCCCCCAAAAAAAACACCTGTGCAGTCATATGCACCACAACTCTCTTTTGTCCTTCTCCCTGCAAAATTTCAGTGAACTGCAAAAAAAAAAATAAAAAAAATAGGGCATTTTTCTAAATGCCTTTCCACTGGGTTTCTATAAAAGTCCAGAAGGAATGAAAAGGAACTACCTTTTTTTCCTATGATCTTTGAAAAAGAAGAACAGAACAGAATAACAGAGTTGGAAGGGACCTTGGAGGTCTTCTAGTCCAGCCCCCTGCTCAGGCAGGAAACCTTATACCATTTCAGACAAATGATTGTCCTATCTCTTCCTAAAAACTTCCAGTGTTGGCGCATTCCCAACTTCTGGAGGCAAGTTGTTTCACTGGTTAATTGTTCTGTCAGGAAATTTCTCCATAGTTCTAAGTTGCTTCTCTAAAATAATATGACTTATTACTTTAGATCTTGGGACACTTGCTCTCAAAGATAGCTCAACAAGCTAATGCTATCCCAATTTTTTTTTTTAAATGCAGCCAATGTCTGTTTATAATGCTGGTAACGCACCCACCCCCACTCTGAAAAAAAAACCCTGGCATTTGGGAAACACAAACCTTTCTTTCTTCAAACAGGCCATAAATTATAGTAATACATTGGCTTCCAGAGGCTCCTTCATTTCATTCAAGAACTTTCAAACTGTTTTAGTATTAATCGCATACAAATTACATACTAATTTATGCTGTTAGGTGACTGTGACGTTATTTTTCCACAATAGGAAAGAGACTTGAACTTTATACTGCAGCTGTGTTATTCCATGTTTGTGATGGTCTTTACATAACAAGTTTTGATTAAGTTTTAGAACAATTTTAACTTCAGATTTAACTTTTTATTAATGAGGATTGCCTATTAAGAGTCTGCAGAATGAATTGGGTTAGAGTTAAATGACATAAACCTCTACTGTAGTTGGCAAGTTGCACTCTAATTTTGCATGTTTAATCTGGGGAAATTTTTCTCTAATTTAAACCAGCAGACATATAGGGAAAATTACCAGGCTGTGTTCACATTATGTTTTTACCCATAGTTAATTTAGCTTTTGTTTCCCTAACACTTTAGAAAGTTGGATTAACACAGCACACTCAACAGTAAACTAGCCCCAAGCGCATTTACACAACACACTTGCAAAAAATGTGGCTAGCATTTTAGTGTACCGTTATCTCAGGAATACAACCCCAGGCTACAGTAATGAAATTATGTACAAGGCTGGAATATCATATAATTAATCTTACATCATCAACCAGTTGCTCTCATAAAGGGAGTTTTTAGTTAGAATGAACGCTTGGTTTCTGACATGTGTGTGCACATGACCAATAAATACCACAGTATGATTTAAGGCCTAACTAAATATATGTAATTTCTTCTCCCCAGGTTTTGAAAAAACAAACAAATCACAAGTATAATTTTAACAAACCATCCCAAGGAATTTGTTAGACAAATTACCTAAGGCATGAGTTATGAAGGCATTGTTACACTGGGAATAATTAATAAGGTAGAGGGTCTTGCATATTATTGTTCTGCTATATACCACCCAGAGTTGCTTTCCATGAGAGGGTGCCCACTTAATTATATGATCAAATCAAATCAACAAATGTTTAATAACAACAACAAATTGCCAAGCTTAAACATGCACTTGCCTGTTCATATGAGCTGGACCATAGCCCCCAATGGCATAAATCATTCCATCTAAAACAGCTGCAGCAAAGCAACTCCTGGTTTTGTTCATTGGTGCAACAGGCTGCCACTCCTTCACCTTTGGAATATACTTCTCCACGGATTGCAGATAGGACTGCCCATCATAACCTCCCAAGGCATAGATTTCTCGTGACAAAACTGTTACGCCCAGAGTACTTCGGCTCTCATTCATACTCTCAATTGACGTCCAAGTGTTTGTATCAGGGTCCCAGCATTCCACAGAGCTTTCATGCTTCCGATAATTGATGCCTTGACACATGTGGGTTGCAATTCCTCCTATTACATAGATTTTCTGATCAAGGGCACAGATTCCAAATTCATAGCGAGGAACACTCAGAGGTGCTAAGCCTATCCAAGAGTCATTCTTAGGAAAATACATCTCAACACTGAAGAAGACAAAAAAAAAAAAAACAATCATGAGGCAAAACGGAATTTCAATATATCAAAAGCTGATATCCCAAATTCCAACTTTTATCCCATGTCTCTTTATTTCCAAGTTTTTTCTTTTCTTTCTTTCTTTTTTTTACAAAAAATGCTGGTTTGAGTTGCTTGATACTGAATCATCTTCTAAACGGACCCCTACGCACAAAAACATTTTAACTGAATTAATGTTGTGTGGTAAGCTATATATGGTTTGGTTTGGGCTTAATGCTTTGGGTAAAAGAAGTCATTGTGGCATGTAAATAATAACTGATGGTTTAGCAGCTAAGTGTGATCTCTGTAATATATTCATCAAATTAATTATAAACAAAACACTGCTCAGTGTGAAGTGTGTAACTAGTCTCTAAATCATAAGAGTTAGAAAGAAATTCAGGACAACAAATCTTAAAAATAATTTTACTTGCAATATTTATTTATATGAAACTAAACTAAGAATGCAATCATTTGATTTGTTCTGCGAACACATAGGGGATACTTTCACACAATATTCCTGTGACCACAAAACTTTGTATCACCCAAACTTTACCAAAGCAGAGCTTTATTGTTTTGAAAAACAGCTCACCTCCTTAATGAAAAGATTGCTCACCGGAACTGAAAGGCCCTAAAAACACGGTCCATCAATGGAGATGAAGGCAGTCAAGCGGCTGATTTGATTGTGGTGTTGTCATGGAAGTGGCATTTTTTATGGGTTATTATATGGTGGGTGTCACTTATGTGTGAGTTGGGCGGCTATATAAATTTGCTTAGTAAATACATAGATTTGGTTAAATGGGCAAAGTTTGGAGAGTGAAGCCATCCTAGCTAGTTTCTCCATCTATCTTTCATAGTCTTTCAATTTACTGCTACTGCAAAGGAAGGTTAAATGTATAAGCAGTTCACACAAAATCTACTCTGCAAGATCTCCTAAATCTTTAGAGTGGTCTGAGCAAAAGGATTACAAGGAAGAAAGGGAATTTAAACTAATAGCAGTATCCATTCCGTGATGCTTTAATAAAACTGACTACTACTCAATATTTGGAGATAATATAGTCAAGTAAAATATAGCCCTTAAAAGGTGAGGCAGGGGCATAAATGAGTTGTTGACTTTCTAAATATGAGCTGTCATACATTTTACAGCTAGCGATTTTAGGCAATGAAACTGATTACAGGATAATTAACCTCAATACATTTCTTTGTTGTAGTAACAAACCTAAGAGTTGACAAAGAAAAATAATAAGACCATTCATACTTCTAACAGAAGTTAGATTTGCAGTTCTTATTTATGCTTCCACTTTATACTTAATTGTGGGGGGAAAAAACCCTGAAATCGCTTTCCTTTTTAGTAAATGGGATAAATCATTAGACTGATATGATTAAGATATAAATTAATTCCTGGACTAAACGATTGCTAGTAATTCTTACAAGGCTGTGACAGTAAGAACAGCAGCAAAATGAAGAATATTCAAAATTATAATACCCTAGTCAATTATCTGCTTTTCTAAGGCTTCTGCATTCCAGACTATTCCCTTTTTCTACTATGGCATGACAAGCAACTGAAGGTTGTCAAAACCTGTATAGTTTCCTCAGAGATAGGCTCCGCTAGCTACTTTGACTTGTGAACGGAAGAGGTTAGCAAGGCAAGCCTGCTTAAATCCAGGGTTTTTGGTTTTTTTCGTTCTTGTGGCTGTTATTTCTCACCTTTCCAAACAAGCAAAGAGTCCAGCTTTTCCTCCTACTGCACAGAGCACTTTAGGAGGGCAGCGAGGACGTGTAGTTAGTACAGTCTGATATGAAAGCCTGTGTTCAGGCATGAAATGGTACTTCAGGGCTTCATTCAACAGGTGTTTACAGGTATGGTCATCACGAATGAGATGATTGGCTTCATAAAGTCTTGTGAGAAATTTAACACTCAACAGAGGCAGCCGTACACAGTGAAGTAGCTGCGCCAGAAATTTCTGACGCTCCTGTACATCATATTTGATCCAAGATTCCAGCGCATAAAAAACCATTTCCTCTGTAACCACATTCAAGCAGTCATTGGAAACAATTTCATCCAGTTCAGAATGGGTAAGTTCAAAGAACTCTTCTGTCTGACAAACATCTTCAAAATTCTGACAAATATATTTATTGGCAGCCGAGTACAGATCATGGCAGCCATACGTCTCTGCAAAACGGGAGATACCAATACAATTGCCAGGATCCAGCTGGCTTTCTAAAAAGGTACAACATTCTTTCAGCACAAGCTTGATTTGCAAGAGATTGGCAGCGGGCAGAAGTGATTCCACGGTGTCCTGTGATATGAATACAGTCCCAGTATAAGCATATTCCACTATGGCCTGAAGAGCTGCTTCTGCAATGCACTGAAATTCTACTTCTGAGTTTTCTTTTTCAGAGAGATTGCCACTGAACATGGCTTTGAAATATGGACTGATACTAGCAAGCACAACTTTATGGGCATGGATCTTGACATCTCCAACTCGAAGGATGACATCACAAAGTTCATGGTGCTGGCGGAGTAAGTTCAGGCCTTGCAGGAGTTGCTCTGAATGCAGGGGTATTAAATTAGCAATCATATAGGTTGGAGATGACTGGTCCATCTGTTAAAATAAATTTAGAACATGTTTTCATAAATTTTTAACTACGGTAATATACTTTTGATACATACAAAGCAATATAAGGACTCATGCCCTTATCACAATGCAATGTCTTCGATATAGGGAAACTTTGAAGACTTCTCAAAAACAGCATCTAATACAAAATGCAGCAGTCTGTTTATTGAGCCACTTGAGTCACATTATACTAATTTTGTGAACACTGCATTGGTTACCAATGGATTTCTAGGTGAATTTTAAAGTTCTAGTTTGATTTATATGGTTTGGCTCCTATGTACTCCAACCAGATTTGGCCCATTCAAGGGTCTCTTGCAAAAGTATGAAGGTTGCATTCATATGAAGTGAATGGAACCAGAATGTGCTTGTTTTCCAATACGGCATTAACATTATGAAATAGTCTCTCTTGAGATTATGAATGTCAACAGATTAGTCTCTCTGCATTTTATTTCAAATCATTCCTATTTTTAAAAATCATTGAGCTTCTTTATCTTTCTCAATTTGTATCAGTATCTCTGGCTTTCTTTTTGGATAGAAATACTGAAACTATATTGTAAAGAGATTTTCATATTCTCCCTAGATGTCTACACACCCAAATTATATTCCTTTTACATATGTATATGTGTATGTAAGTGTATGTGTGTGTATACCCACACACACACAAGCTATTTTTTATTTGCAGTGATTTACTGATTTGAATAACAGTAAGAAAAAAAGAACTGTACTGAAATAGAAAATCTGAGTCTGAAACATTACTAGTATGAAACAGAAAATAACAAGTCTGCCTAAAGTTAGCAATAAGCCAACAATCACAGTATGGCTATATATTCTCTATCTTATACTGTTTGGTTTATGTGCTCTATGCAGGGCAACACTTTAAAATTCTAAAAAAGCTGCCTTAGAATGTACAGAAACGCAAACACTTAGTGAGTCATTAAAGTAGCATGTCTGTTATAGGGCTGCACTTATGTTCCCATTGCTCTAAAGCAACTTTTCAGTGTCGAATCATAAAACTTTACAACAAACTCTTAAGTGCTTTATCTTTAAGTTCCGTGAATCTTCATGACTATGGGAATGCTCACTCATTTCTGACGAAGATTACTTTGGAAGTCCTTATCACAATAATTAGTAAAACGTGAATGTTTTAGAACCACCACAGGTCCCTACATTACCCACCCCCCACAAAAAAGTAAAACTCTACCCCTAACATTTGAAAACCAGCAATTTACAGCGTGTATATTTGATTATGATAACCTCTGTCCAAGGCAAATAATCAACTTTAACACCACTTATCTTGTCTCAAGAGAGACATACTAACTAGACATTACAGAAATTGCCACCAATTCGCTTGAAAACCAAGTCAATCCCTTTCTGTTCTTGCATTCAGCTCTAGTAACCCCAACTGCCAGCCGACTGTTCCCAGTACTATTTGGGGCGGTGGGGGAGGGGGAGCGAAAACAAGTTACCGAGCACGTAGAGACGACAAAGGCACCTTAACCTGCCAGGGGCAAAGAGCCCAAAAATACCCATCGCGCCCATTTGCGAAGGACGAGGAGGAACGGAGAAAAACAAGGACCTCCCGCAGCCAGTCATCCCTTCCAACCTCCGTCTCGTATTATGCTGGATTTTTTTTTTCTCGATATCGTTGTCGAGCCACGCTCTTTCTGGCCCAAATTCCTCCATTTCGGCCATTTCCCTCACAATTGATACCGCGCGGGAGGGTCACTCACCGGACTCAGGAGACGGCAAGCCCGGTCGGGCGGGGGCCTCAGCGGGCTCCTTTCAGGCACAACAACACAGGCAGACGCAGCGGAAGAGGAGAAGAGAAAGAGGCGACGGCTGGTTGCGTCACTTCCGCTAACGATCCACAGACTCCGACTCCTCCTCCAAAATTTCGACTCCCGGCAGCCTTTTCGCCGTTCACGGGGACAGGTGTTGCCACAATTGCACATTCCAATTGTACATTTAAAACGGAGCAAAAAATAAACCTTCCCTGGGCGTAGTAGATAATTATAGCACCATTTAGGCCTTTGGCCCTGTTGGGTGAGGGATTGGACTACATACCCCGGCGCGCACTGCGCGCCTTGCCCGCGAGACCCTCCTGAGCGTTCTTTGCCAGCCTTCGTGGCTTCTCTCTCTACGTTTCCTATGAAAACGATTGACAGGCGCTTGCTGTTCTTTCTCCCCCCCACCACCCCGAGCTGGGCGTTGTGCGCACGCGCAATGAGGCCTCCGTCGTGGCCGAGGCGGCGAAGGAAGCGGCGGTAGCGGCGGTGACGCGTTTCCCTGGAGACGGCGATGCTCCCCTGTGAGGGGCCCGGCGGCGGCGGCGGCGGCCTCGGGGCGGGCTGGCGGGGCAGCCGGGCAAAGCCCTGGAGTGGGGCATGGCCAGAGAGGAAGAGCAGGAAGGGGGTGCCTCCGGCGGAGGAGGGGGCGGCCGCGGCCGCGGCGGGGAGCAATGGGAGGCGCCCGCCGCTTCTTTTCCTGCAGGCCTCCCGCCGACCCCACCGGGAGTCACGCCTCTGCGCTTCGGGCTGGTCCCGTCGGAGCTGCACGCGCGGCTGCTGGACCAGCATGACTACCGAGGCCGGGTGGGCGCCATGGAGCAGCTAAAGCGGGTTTTGGGAGAGGCGCCGGGGGCGGCCTTGGCCTGCTTGCCGCCCCCCAGCCTCCTCGGGCTGCTCAGCCTGCTGCGGGCTCTGCTGGACGACTCGAACTTCAAAGTGGCGCTGGGGGCGCTGGAAGGGCTGCGCCTGCTGGCTGTCCGCCTAGGCCCGGCGGCCGGGAGCCGGTCCCGCTTGGAGCCGTTGGTGGCGGCCGCGGCTAAAGTGCTGGGCGACGCTAAGCTGGCCATCCGCCAGGAGTACCACCAACTCTTTCTGGGTCTGATGCGGGCAGCCGGCCCTCAGCCCGTGCTGGATCTCCTGCTGCGCCCCGAGCACCTGCAGCACCGCAATTCCCGCGTCCGCGAGGTTGTCCTGGCCATCTCCATCGCTGCTCTCCTCACCTTCCCCAGCGAGGACTTCGAGCTCCCCAAGCTGGTGGTTGCGCTGGCCCCTGCTCTGGCGGACAGCAAGCGCCGGGTTCGTCACGCCGCCTTAGAGGCTTTTGCTGCCTTGGCTTCGGCCCTGGGCCCCGGCCGCACCAGCCTCATCTTCAAGGCAGTGGACGTGGTTGAACTTCAGGATAATTGCGAAGGAGTCATGAGCGCCGTGCAGGCTCGCTTGGCCAGAAAAACTCTCCCCAAGCTGACCGACCAGTGGTTTGTGGAGTATGCCGTTCCCCTGCCGTCCTCGGCGAACGGGCGCGGCTTTCATTTGCCTCATGGAGCGGACACAGATTGGCTCCTGGAGGGCAACCGTATCCAGAGTGCCCACAGCTACTCTGGAGAGACTGCTGGGTCTTTCACCCCTTTTGCGGACCAAGGAGTATGTCCCCGGCGTGTGTTAAGTGCTGGGAAAGGAAAACTGCCTTGGGAGAGCGAACGACCTGGGAACCAAACTTGCTTTGCGAAAGGAAGTGAACCAGTAAGTAAAATCATTGTAAAGTGCTGCTCTTCTCCTAATATATGGTGTCCTCCAGGTGTCTTCAGGCCAAAACTTCCACCGGCCAGGATTCACATTCACTTCGCTGAGTTAGGGCTGAAAGGATATGGAGTCAAACAATCTGGATAGTACCAGGTTAGGGGAAATTAGTTTGTATTCTGTTAAAGAATAAAAAGTAAAACTCCCATTAGCTCTGGTTTTTAGCTGAAGTTCATGCTACCGTTCCCAGAATTTTGAGTGACCCAATTGAACTTACTTTTAGATATTCTTAATACTGTAGGGCTTGTAAGTTTAAAGAATATTTTAAGAGTTTGCATTTGAATGCTGTAATAGCATAATTGTGATTTAATTGTTGGCAGGTAGTCTTAGGGCCATAGTATAATATCAGTGGGATATGGTTAAATTAAAAATGACATAACTCTAATTTTATTCTTTCACTCAGCCCCTCAAGACTTAGCTGTCAGATCACCTGATTTAATCCTCTTAGCTATTACCAGTACTTTCTAATGTATTTGTTTAATATGATTACTGTGCTTCACAGTTAATTAGTCATGTTGATCTGGTGGATGTTAAAGGAAAAAAAGTGGAAAACAGGGCATTTAGAGAGGATTGTTGCCTATGTTGAAAAATCTGCACCACTTGCTGGCTGCTAGCTGGGCACAATTTCTGGTACTCATGTTAAGATCTTTTGCTTTACTGTTAAGAATTTTTTATGCCATTAAAATATGCTGAGAGGTCCTTTTGATGATGCTCTCAAACTACCAGTTTACTAATAAGACATGTAGGAGACACCTTTCTCCTGTTACTTTGAACTAGATCTTCACAGTCAAGTTATAAAAATTTGAGCATTTGGCAACCTGCATGTATTTATAATAGTTGAACAACTCAGAGTCATATTATTACTATTTGCAACCTTCTTACCTCTTCAGATAAGCAAAGTCAATGGGAGAAGCGGGATTTGCTTAACAACCACATGATTCACTTAATTGCTTAACACCCATGGCAAAAAGTCGTAAAATCAGACACGACTCACTGAACAACCTGCTTGCTTAGCAGTGGAAATTCTGGTTACAATTGTGGCTGTAAGTCAAGGAATACTTGTAGCTTGTCAAAGTTTGCCACAAGTCATGTCTTGAATTTGGAAGACTCGTTATCTAGTGAAACTTGCACTGTCCCAAGAATAGTGGAGGAGTGGTATTATTATGGCCAGACTAAAGTGGTTCATCAGAAATTAATAAGAACTCAGATAAAACTCAAATAGATGAATTTCAGGTACATGCTTTGGATATTTGCATTATCCTCCCAAACTGTGCTCTTCTATTCAAATTTTATTTTCACACAGAACTTAACAGTTGTATGTAGGACTATTTGCATTGATGGAAAGCTGAATTACCATGGAGATTAGTTGAGATTTAAACTCTTATCATATGTTTTCTTCTGAATTTCTGCATAGAAGCATGGTATCAACAAAAATTGACAATATGTAATCAGAATGTCTTGAATATGTACCATGAAGAAGGAAGTTGAAAGCTGTCAGATACTCCAACTTCTGTATTCCATATTAATTAGTGAACCATGATAAGAGGAGATGCTAGATCAGACCCAATTTTTTAAAAATGTCTAGTCTGAATGGTCTCCATGCAGAACTTGGACTTTAGCAACTAACTTTTAGGAGACTGCAGGGCCTGAATTTGATAGATTCATTCAAGTCATTATGATTAATCAAGATTTGATTGTTCATAGGTAGAAAGTGTTCTGAAACTTTTTGAATCAAGAGCTGAAGCTGCTGCTTCAATTAAATTTAAAAATGTGCAGTTTACAGTAGGGTTCACACGCCTATGAAAATCTAATGCCTAGTGATCTGAGGTGGCAATGGTAGCACTGGGGAACAGTTGCAAATACAGATCAAGTTTTACTTGCCTTCCCACCACTCATCTCCAGCTGTGCAGCCTAGGTCCTAACAGGCCACAGACTGGTACCGGTCGATGACCCGGGGGTTGGAAACCCCTGCTTTATTAGACCTCACCCCTGGACATTACATCCCTTTTGTGTAGTGTAATGGAAGTAATGCCACTATATTGCAAGTATATGTTTTCTATATGATCATGCCCTTCTTTTTCCTCTTCTCAGACCTATTAACATTTGTGAGATGGGAAGCTACATAAGTATGATGTATAAATAAATAAATTAAAAAGAAAAAAAGTTGAATATCAAATTCAGTAGATAACACAATTAGGTAAAACTGATATTGACTTTGAACTGCCTTTTTAAATAGAAAGGTCAAAAGATGCAAGTGTCTTAAACCATTCAGAATAATTTTCTAATGGTCAAGCTAGTATGCTATATTGATTATTGAAGATAAATCTTTGGATTTGAGTTAGGATAAGTTCAAAGAAAGGTAAATGAATATAATTTTCACAGTCTTTAGTTTTTTAGCTAAGGTTTCTCAGGATTTGAAGAAGATTAATAATTACATTTAGGTACATTCCAATGACCTCAGTTTTGTTACAGATTAACGTAAGTAGCCCCCAGCAGTTAAAGGAATTTGTGAAGTCAGCATTGTTCATAGGAGGTCAGTAATAGTACAGACCAATACAGGAAACTAGCAGGTACAGAAATAAGTCTTTTGTAGTGATTTTTCAAAATATATATATATATATTTAATAAAGACTATTATTTGTAGTCGACTAGATGGTCTCTTAAGTTGACTTTCATTTCTGTATTTCTGAAATTTGCATTGTTCTAAGAACAGTAGAGGAATGGAGTTATGATCACACTAAAGTGACTATGAAAAATTATCAGACTTTAAAAACTCAGTTTAGTTAAAATATCCTTTTTGAAAACTTCAGATGGTTTCCTATACTATATCCAGGGTCTACATTCTAGTCAGTGCACTTTTTTCTTCTTAATTTTGCAAATGAAAAATATATGCAAATTACATTATACCGTAATACTATTTGCCTTTTCTTTCTGTTCCAGTGCTTGACATCAAATGATTTTCTTCACTCTCCTAAATTAAGAGCTTCTCAAGGTAAGCCAGTGAAATACTAAGTATGTATAGAGCTCTTAAGAACATCAGAGTTATTTATAATGACAAGATAATACAATAGATGGTACAGTACAGAAAAGTTTCTGCCACCCCAGGTTCCTGTTCTGCCTTCACCCCCATTCTGTTTTATTGTGTGGCCTGAGTAAGACTGAACAAAGAACTGCTAAGATACTATGAAGTGTGGTGCAATTGAACATTTTTGAAGCTGTCTCACTGTTTTCTTTTTTCTTTTTCAATACTCCGACTGTCATCTTTAAAATGTTGGAAAAGGATTCGATTTAACTAGTGAAAATAGAATGAGACTGAGATGACAAGAACTTCTACTGCATTGATTGCCTAGTTATTAGAAAATGTGATAATATTTTTGTAGTTTGTATGCTAACTTAATCAAAACATTATAATTTTTTTGCCTAGAAAGGTATAGGAGAAGATGATTCAGGGAATATCCCAAAGAAATACAGAATTAAAATCAATTGAAATTTTAACTTGAGAAAATAGAACTATGGGATAATGCAGTTGGTTTTAATATTATATTTCTTGTTTTTCCCATCTCTGAGTGACAACTGGACCAAGTGGCAGATGGGTTTTGTAGATATAAAAAAAAAGCCAA